ATCTTACTTTTAATTGGAGAATAAATTACAGAATACGAGGTTCATTAGGCAAACTCTTTGTCAAGATGGAAACATGAGACTTGTTTTCCAGGTTAGTTCCCAGTAAAATTAGGTCAGTATAGTTACATGACGGTAACTTAAGGAATGTTGTCATTTTCCTGATCTTTCATTTGTTAGGTGACAGACATCATTAAAACACACATTTTCCTTAAAAATTAATGTAGGCAAGTTAGAACTGAAATCAAGATTATTTTTAGTCAGTATGTATTTTGTTTCCAACATGTATATATGTGCAAAGAATTTAAACTGTGATTTGATTTGATTTTAGAATACTATCCAAGCTTACTCAATTTGTCAAATGAATACCAGCTGGTGCATCTGACAGCCAAAACTAGAAAAATAACCTCATTTAAAGATGGAAATCCCTATTCATGAGACCATTTCAGGGCCTTTGCTTTCCAGCAGGACTGGTTGAGCAGCATGTTCTGATCATTGGGGTAGTTTTGGTTTTCAAAGACAGATGGTCATTGTGTTTAATGTCTGTGTATTAATGTTCTATTGATAAAAGTACGAGTAAGTTGCTAATTTCTCTGGGAAAATACAATTAAACTGTTGAGATCAGGATACATGTGACCTGTGCTATGTTTGGTCCAGAGGCATCAGATCCAATTAGCTTTGCAAAATTGCTCTGCATTTTTACCTGCTTGCTTGGATTGAGGGGAAAAAAGGTTCCTTTGTTTACTCTAGGATGAATAGAAAACTAGTCTTATTTCAGCCTTTTATTCGGATGTTTGTCAGTACTAATGTTCAATATTTTCAAATGTAGGATTGGTGGTATTCTGTTCAAGATGTCTCAAGAGACTTCTCAAACTTGTTGCTGTGAAATCAGACATTCTGGTATGATTTCAGATTAGGTAGTCAAGTAGCCATGGATTGCAGCTTTTTTGGTTTCCATCTCGAATCTTTTTTTTTCTTTGTGGATTTTAGCCTGACTTGAAAATATTGCAGCTACAGCGTGTGTTGCTATACCTGAAAGTATTCATTCTTTATATAGGCAGCTTTCTGTATTAGGGTGACAGGAAGGTGCTTAATTCTGTCAGCTAAAAGTGTTGACAATATTGGGATTTTTTTTTTTCACAAACCATGCTTACCTGTTTTATTAATTGCTACATTTGCTAGGAGCCGTTCTCTTGGACGGTCGCTCAGCTGGCTCTGATTTTATGCTTATTTTTGGTACATTCATACACTGGGATGTTTAAAAATTGAGTTAATTTGTGTGCCATATACTTGTGGATTTAACAGAATATATGAAAAGTTCTTTTCAAGAAATATTTGAAGATGGATATGAAGGATGTTAGAGGGGTGGTGAATGTGCAGCTTTTTGCTGTTTTACACTTCAGTTGTTTTTAACACATTTTTCTGCAGAAGAACTCAGTGGTTGTTAACTGCCGGAGGTATATAAGCAAGAAATTATTTGGGACTGCAGGATGACTAGTTTGTGTCTCAGTTACTTAAGTATCTCCTCTTCTGAATGTGCAATTTTTAAGTGTTTGCTAACTTGGCTTTGTGACATTATTACCAACTTGTACTTTCTAATAGCATTTATTTGTTCTCTTACTCTGGAAATTGTACAATGTCTGTTCATTCTCAACTGTTTGAGCAGCTCTGTCAATTCAGAAATTGTCTGAAGCAGTGAATAGGTCCCAAACACAGAGAATTATCAAAAACTGTTTAAATTGGATACTTTCTGTTATAGCGATGGCTGCAAACAAAGTGATGGATATATTGGATCCGTAAACATGCTGTAAGAAATGTATAGTTGAATTGATTCCGTTCTGGGCTGAGGATTGTTCAGAATAAAAGGAATCTGCAGTTGATTGCAAAGTCAGTGGGAGGATCTATGGGCGAAGTGTGTTTTCCTGCTGTTTTGTATCACAGGAGGGCCTTGTGACACTCTCAGAGGGTTTTGTTTCTGTTTGTGTTGTTTCTGATGGAAATTACGCGACCTAGTTGGCAAAAAGCATTCATTATACTATTGTCTTCATGGTGGAACTTGGGAATATTCCTATTCCATGGTGAAGTTTTACATTTGCAAACCTGGATGGCAATTTGGAGTCGATAGGTGGCAATTCCTAGATGGATTTTATGGGCAAAAATCCCAATTGCCAGCAACTGGCTCCATGGGCAAAGGCAGAAGAAGTCTGAAGACTGCCGTGGTTCAGCAGCTGTCAGGACAGTGCCCAGCAGGGATTGTGTTACCCAATACCCACCTTGTACCTGGGAAGGAAACCAGCAGAGCAAAGTGGTAACCGGTCAGTTATTGCTGATATTGCAAGGTGTGTTGGACTGTTCCCTTCTCCCCGCCAAGTCTAACAGAACTTGCAAAAACAATGGTGGTACCATAAAAAAAGAAAGGAGTAGCTTTATAATTATTATTTTTATTTTTTTTTTTAATATTAAGACTAACAGCCATGTCACAGGCCAGAGGTTTTAACCCTCCAAACTTTTCATTATCTTCACAAACCCTGACTGAATGTTGCTTCTGATTGAAACATGCCAGTCGGTGATTTGTGTATTTACTCAAGAGGGAATGATTTTAAAAGTGATTCTCTGTCACCAAATCTGTTTGTATATTAGTCTCTAAATATATTTGTTGTGGTACAACATGTCAGAATTTATACCTTTCCTACAGTTCAAAAGCAGAATTTACAAGTATAATTAGAAGTTTAAAGGCATTTAAAGAATAAAAGCACTTTAATGACATTCAATTTTTATTGACAACCCACTAATATCTGCTGCATTACATAAAGATTTCTAATGTAATCCTGTGAGCAGATAAAAGCTCTGCTGTTTAAAAGCTTAACACAAAGCAGATTTCATTGGATCTGCTCATGGAATGCTGACGGACGGTTCCTGAGCAGATGATGGGTTGCAAGTGCTTGTCTGCAGCTCACACAAGCACAGGCCATTCCTGCTCTTTGTTTTACAGGGTATCACATTAAGAGCTGTATTAGAAGATAGATGGCAGCAAACTGAAACATTTATAAGGAGTTGTTTTTAGTTATTACATTAATGTTTCCTGTTTTCCAAAAATTGTAACATTGCTGCTTTTGAAAGAAAAAATTATTCACTCACCCGAGGTGTTTGCAGGTACTCACATTTGAACTGTTTAAAAGAATTGTGGAAAATGCCAAATACACATTTTCAGATCTGTTCTTTCTTTTGTCTATTTGGGGTCTAAAGAATAGAGGGTTTTTTTAGATTCACAGAATACCAGAATGGTTTGAGGTGAAATGGATCTTAAAGTTCATGCAGTTCCACACCCTACCGTAGATGGGGACACTTTACACTAGACCAGGTTGCTCTGAGCCCCGTCCATCCTGGCCTTTGACTATTTCGAGGGATGGGGCAGCCACAGCTGGGAAACCTGTGCCAGGGTCTCACCACCCTCACAGGGAGCAATTTCTGTCCAATATCTGATCTAATCCTGCCCTCTTTCAGTTCAAGGCCATTCTCCCCTTGTCCTCTCACTCCATGCCCTTACGAAAACTCCCACTCTAGGAACTTAAATCATGTGAAGTAATATCTAATAAAAGTCTTGCTTGATCTGAGCCTGTTTGGGTTTAGGTTCCCTGCTGATCTTGTGTTCTGTGTGGTTGGACACTGAGAAATTTGAGCCGATTTGAGCGGTTTCTGCCAAAGGCTAAATGCTCGTGCATTCCGGTGATTTGGGGCACAGGCAGCTTCCACAAGTCAGGAAGAGACTTTGAAGAAGGAACATCCTCTCGAAGAGCAAGAGAATGCTCAGCTTCTGGGGCAGAGTCCGGGGCAGGACTGTGTGGGAGCTCGGGTCTCTGAGAGAGGCTGTGGGACATTCCTCCTGTCGTGGGGATCCCCATTAGTGCTGCAGGATGAGCTGCCTTTAGAGATTTCCTTGCTTGACTGAACAAAACCTCCCTGCTCCCATGGAAGGGCTCTGCCGATTACTGGCTCTGTAGCTGTTTTTCCAGAGAAATGAAAAATTGAAAGCGAGGAGGTAATTGGCGGGCCTGAGAAATAAAATAGGGTTTTTGATCAATTTATGGAATGTCCTACAGTTTTACATACAAAATTATAAATCTAAGACCATAGGAGGAGTCACTGTTACGGTTCTGGGAGCACCATGAATCCCAAGTAAAGCTGTCAATTGCTTCTCAGTGTCCTCTCGCAGGAGAACAAAAAACCTGACTGATGCGGTTGAACACGTATTCTACTTTGCTTTAAACTTACAAATACAAGGTGGCCTCAATTTACTTGGATTCTTTTTGTTTGTTTGTTGGATGACAAATGAGATGTGTCTGTATTTCCTTCTACTTGCTGATTCTCAAATGAGATTTCTAAAACAATAGATTGGTGAAAGCTATAATGCAGTATCATCAGCACAAATAAAACACAGGCTGGGAATAAAATTGCTGCTCTCATCTTTTTCAGTAAGTTGCAAGATACAGTTCTTGTGGCTTTTCGTTGATGAACTTCACGTACACGATGACAAAGTGAAGGGCCAAGTACTGAACTCTTGATTTAGTGCCGGATCCCTCTTGGAAGTTATGTTTATGTAAGGATTGAGTTCTCTAAAAACCACAGTGGGGAGGGTTAAAGGATTTTAGCAGAACTTGATAGGATGAAGGGAAATACACTTGTTAAACCACGTGCTGTATGATGTGTGTCAAAGAGCAGTATATCTGCTTTTCTTCTCTCATTTGAAAGGTGGTTAGAAGGAAGAGGCAAGTGACCAAAGTTAGTATTGATTAACAGTAATTTAAAAGCAGGAACATTTGCTTTTTAAATGTAAAAATGAAGAGGGGGATCTCCCGATGCTTACACAGTAATACTCTGGAAAAGTTGTGGGTTTATTCTTGGCATGGGATTATTGTAGCTCTGCCCACATCTGGACAGGGCGGGGCACAGAGGGTGCTGAGAAGATGCTACTAAATTCTGTTGTATTTCTTTATGTCTTCCAGGACTTGCAGTGAATGGAGGAGGACACTTTTTGCTAGAGATTTAACTTGTCTAAAGATATCAAGGTATGAGAATTTTTTCTTCCTACAATCCTATGCGTTCTTTGCAGGCATGATTTAATTGTTTAAATAGAGTTACAGTTGTCTTCTCTCGTTTCATTGTCAATGTGTGATCGCCTGAAATTGGAACAAGGCCTGAAATTGGAATAAGTCTGCTGTTTTTGTATAACAGTTTTACCAGCCCTCAACCCGATTGTATTAGAGAAAAAGATGTAAGAGCTTTCACATATTAGTGTTTGATCACTCTCTTTTCCTACTGGAGGTAGGAGAGGTAGAAGAATGGATGTAATAAAGCAATATGTGGGCTTTCATGTTATTTCTTGAGTTCATTCTAACTACTATATAAAATTCTGATTATATTTTGTAAATGCAATGTGTAATAGTGACACTGCATTATGTAAAAATGTACTTTGGTGTTTCAATTTTTCAATTTTTTTTTTTAATAATATAAAATTCAAAATATCCCATGTTGTGAAAAAATCTCCAGTGCTTGCCAATGGATTCAATTCCAGTTTCATATTAAATATTATTAAGACTTGAGCAAATTGGCAGAACAGGCTTACAGCAGCTCCTTAATTAGGTTTGTGTTTGAAGATGTATTTTGATAATTTAAGAACAATAATTACAATTTCCTTTACAATTTCTTGGAATAGACGAGTACTATAACATTTTCTATCTTTGTACATTGCCCATTTTTTTGTCTTCATTTTCTCTTGTACCAGTTAATCTTCAAAAGTAACTTCAGATTGATAAGTGGCTCGAGCAGAGTGTCCAGCGTGGGGCTGGTGTGATTTTGAGGGACAAATTTTTGGATGCTCCATGTCACAGCCAAAAGTTGAAATGCAAGAAACTCTCTGCATTTCAGTCTTGTGATGGTTTGGGGAAGAATCAGAATGGTGGATCCTGGCACAGTGAGGCTTGTTGATTCAGCACAGGAAGGACGTGGAGCTGTTGAAATAAGTCCAGAGGAGCACTAAAATGATCATAGGGATGGAGCAGCTCTGCTGTGAGGAAAGGCTGGGACAGCTGGGATTGTTCAGAAAGCAGAGAACTCCGGGGTGATCTTACACCCTTTGAACACCTGAAAGGAGCCTGCAACAAAGATAGAGATTATTTACAAGGGCCTGGAGCAGTAGGACAAGGAAGAATGGCTTCAGTGACAGAGAGTAGGTTTGATTAGATATGAGAAAGAAATTGTTGCCTGTGAGGATGGGCAGGTCTTGGCACAGGTGCCCAGAGAAACTGTGGCTGCCCCTGGATCCCTGACAGTGTCCAAGGCCAGGCTGGACACTGGGGCTTGGAGCAACCTGGGACAGTGGAAGGTGTCCCTGCCCATGGCAGGGGGTGGGACCAGGTGAACTTCAAGGTCCATTCCAGCCTTGGCCATTCTATGATTCCAGCTGTAGGAAGTGCCCTGAAACTTCTTTCAAGGCAGTTTAGCAAGACTCGGCTTGTGCAGAACTGTACCACACATTTTATTTCAAGCTTAAATACCTATTCACGTGGTTGTTGATGGAGGCAGCTAGTAGTAATATTTAAAACCAAAGCAATAATTTTAACTGTTATGAGCAACACAGAAGACACTAAAAGCACCAGGAGTGAATTGATGAAAGTGAGGTGATGGAATTTCTAATTTCTGTTTAGTTATCATTTTACTCCGAGGCTGGATAATTATGACATTGTATATAGAGAATGGAAGTGTTCTTTGGGAATTCAGTGTGTATCATTAATCTAGGTACAACCCTAATCTAGAATTAGAAATTAGGTTATGCAAAATGACAAAGCCTGGTTCAAAATTAAATTTCCTGCATTTCAAGGTCACCACGTTTTCATGCTGGGGAGAGAACTTTTTGACTTTCTCCTAGTGAGTGATTGCATTCTTTCTGCAATGTTTCTGGTCTCGTTTTAAATAGGTGTTAAATGTCAACACTTAAATAAAAAGTATTACTGGAGAAATCTTTTTACCAGAAAAGTAAATTCAAATTTTGACTGAAAAGTTACGGTTACAAAGTCTGTTAATTGGGTATTATGTGGCAGGCAGGTTATCTGATGAGGATTGTTATTGTTTGAGAGTAGCGAGTTTCTCTGGATTCAGAGCGAGCAATAAGCTGTCTGTCAGTGCAGTCTTTCTCTGAGAGCAGTCGTGATTTTATTCTCCTTTGTCCTTACTTGAAGTGCGACTGTGCTCCAGACAAAAGGAAAAACAATCTCCTGTTAGCGAAGAGCGGGAAGCTTGAGCCTGCCCAGAGCCCGCGTGTGTTGAGGGATTGAGTGTGGTGTACTTTTACCTCTCAGCTCCAGGTACAAACAGCTTCACCCTCTGGAAGCGCTGTTTTCCAAGCATAGCACCAAAATGAGCTGTTCCTCTGCTAAATTGTGTGGGTTTCCGTAAGAATACAGTGCTTGTTTCCTTCCTCCCAGGCTGTAATGGTATAAAAATTACCTCTGAACATAATCGCCACAGACTCAATAAATTTGTATGGCCACAGTCACCTTAGGGGTGTTGTTGGAAACTTCACAACCATGGAAATATTACTTCGTTATGTTCTCAGAACTGCTTTTTAACAGGAGAATTAACAGCTGCTTCATTTGATAAAATAAAAGCAGGGATTGAGGTCAACCTCCTGCTTCCTTGTGAAATGCTGCGCTGATCTGCTGCAAATGTTTTTCCAGTGGAAATACTGTTAGGTGTTTTATGGGTGATTTTTATGTATTTCTATCAAAGACAGTTGGAGAAGCAAAGACAGTGGGGTCATACCAGGAGGACAGGTGAGCAAACAAGTGCAGGGGCTCTGGGATTGTATGAGTCAGTGCAGGATCTGTAGGAAAGGCAGTCCAGAGATCTCCAAGTATTTTGTTTAAGAGTGAAACAGCAGATGGGCCTTCACATCAGGCCCCCCCATGATAGTTATTACTGGTCAGGCATTTGTGAGGAAACATAACATCAAACAATTAATTTTGTTGTTCTAAAGCCTGTTAGAGAACTCTGTTTAATAAATTTTTAATTGCTTAAAGACCTCCAATTGGCAGGGTTTAGTGTTTTTAATACCTTTGTTGTTTTCCTATTTCCAAATAATCCTAGAAGTTCTTGGCAAGCTTGCTAGGTCTCAACAGTACTTTTTTCATTCCTAAAGTTCCTGGAAATATTTAATCTCTAAATTTAATCTCCAAATTGTGCTCCCGTGTGTTCAAATGTGCACAGACCAAGCTCGTAAATATACATTTCCTTTGACTTCAGAGTTATTGTAATCAGTTATTCCCGCCGCTGTGGTGAGTCAGAGTGTTCTGGGAGGCAGAATTTAATGGATTTGATCGTCATGAAGTTCATGGAGCTTCTGCCACTTCCTGACACTTCTCAGTGAAGACTGTGGCCATCCCAGTCCTCCTGTGAGCATCAAAGTACAGCTTAAGCCTTCTTTAGTCCTCGTCATCAGGCTGTCTCTCAAAACACGCTCTGGAATTTCAGGGCAATTTAAAAATAAGAGTTCAAGTTAAACTTTGAATAATTAATTTGAGGAGCATGAAAAGTTTCAGCTTGGCAGCAGTTAGAGGCAAATGTGGAACACGTCTGTTTGCAATACCCATTATACATGGAGTAAATGCTTGAAAGTCAAGCCCCGTTGTGTGTTTTGTTTGCATTTTTCAATTTATTTCATTGTGTGATAATTAGTTTTATTAATCTATCACTTGTGTAAAAAAGCCCTTGTTATCTCTTCCTTCCTGAAGCTTGAATGCTCTTTGAAAACAGTTCACTAATTTATGAAAAGTTAGGGGTTTTTTTTGTTCACAAAATGTTCATTTGGGCTTTACATGTTGGTAAATCCTGAAAACTAATATTCAGAAAGGTTCCTTTTTCTGGCATCTTAATATAAGATCCTTGTTACACACACTTCTTAATTTCTACTGTAGTGAGTTCAGCTTCCCTCATGAAATCAGCTCATCTTGTGCTACCAGGAACCTTTGAAATAGAATATTTTACGAGTACCAAGCTTTTCCATTACATTGCGCAACTGCATATATTTTCCATCAATGGACTTTTGGTTTGTTTTTTGGGTTTTATTTTTAAAGTGACCCTTTAAAAACAATTTTCTTTCCTTTGTTCCTTTGGGGAATTCAGGGAAGGTATACTGAAGGAATGTGGTGCCTCAGGATTGTCTGAGATGGACAGAAGCTGATAAATAAAGGAATAAGCACTGAGATTCTCATTGAAAAATGTGCTTTAATTGAAGTTTACAAATACTTCTGCTTTATAACATGCTAAATGTTTATAACATTATTATTATTATTATTATTATTATTATTATTTATAATATTATGTTTAATCTATTAACATAATGTATTGAGAGTTTTTGAACACTCCATAGTGTATTCTGCTGAATATTAAGAAGGTTCTGGAAGTAAATTCTGTCTTAATTTGCTGCTGCCTGACCCAGAGAGTGAGGTAATGGGATCTCATGGGCTGGCACAGGCTTGTACTTCACTTTTCAACTACAAATTCATATCCTAAGAGGCAGCTGACAGAATGGTTGACCCACCTCCAATTCCAATTTGGCAAGATGGTATTTTTCTTTTTTTCTATTTTTTTTGGAGGGGGGGGTGGGAGGAGGGGGTTGTCTTTTTCAGCCATTCAGTTAAAGCTCTGCTGTTGCCACACTCTGGCTATGCTGCTGATACCTGTGTGCATCATGTGCTGCACAGCAAGCCTGACTGCTGCACAGGGCTATCTCCTGGCTGAGATTGGGTACATGGATAAAGAACTCTGTTTCTATTAATGTGTTTGTTTGTAAGACCAAAATGTTTACAGTAATTTTATTTTCTACAACAAGTTGTTGCAATGCTCGTCCCTCTGCATAGGTAGCTTTATTGCAGAGGTGAGGAAGGAACTGAAAAGGGGAAATGAAATTCTTAAGAGATGTGCATTGCACGCATGACTTAGGATGCATTCCCTTCCTCCTTTTGTAGTTAGAAATTTGTCTTATTGGAGAAAGCACAGAATTCTAATATTAAGATATAGATTTAATAACTCCTCACACTGATGTGCTTGAAATTTGGCAGCAATGTTTGTACGACTCACTGGACATCAAACACTCTTTTGAACAAGAGCTTAGCTTTGCTAATCAGCTTTATAGAAAATAAAATTATATTTTTAGTATGGTGATCAGAGAGGAGGAGAGTACAGGGGTCTGGTTGTTCTACTGGTGGTATATAGGCAGAAAAATTTGCTTTGGTTTAGTAATTCTGTGTCTGACACGCAATATCTCTGTAAAAAGAAGCAAAACTGACTTCTGAGCTGTTTTTTTCTAAAAATGCTGTGTAGGAAATTATACCTTTTTTAGTCATCTGTTGATACGCTTTGGAGACTTGTGCTCATGCAGTGTCTTCATTTTTTTTGGTAAACTTAAAAATGACAAGATAAAGGGAAAATCAAGTGTTGTCTCTTGGTTGTCCAGATTCTTGCCACAGACATCCTGTGTCAGTGGGGGTGTGAAGGATCCCCATCACATTTCTGCAGCTTTTGCTTCTGTGTAGTGGTTTAGATTTGCTAATTTCATTTTCCCAGCCAACGCACCAAATAAATGTCGTGGTTTTAAGGCAGTAACTAAAAAAATTACTTCTTGCTGTGAGATATGGATTAGAACAAGAGCAAAACAGGCTTAAAACTTAAAAGGAAATAAAGAAAATTTATTAACAAAACTACAAGAATAAGAACACCAGAATAAACTTCCAGAAACCAGAATAAACTTCCAGAAAACCCTTTTATCCCCCATTTGGAGTTTTCCTCCCTAATTTGCCCTAGGACAACTAGGACATTCTGACAGAGCTGCTGCTGATCCTGAAGAAAGGCATTAACCTGGGCTGTGAGGTACATTAAGGAGTTCACAGGGTAGGATGAAAAACTGTCTGATCCAGCTCCCCCTAATACTGTAATTTTGTTTGCTGTTTAATGCTTCTAATTCCATGAACTAATACGACCAACAGGATTTTTAATTTAGAGTGCTTATTCTTAAATATTACTTCTGGCTTAGTGGTGTTGTCTGAACAGTGGAAGAGCAGTGACCATGTTTGCTCAAAGCCACAGAGAGACACAGTTGTGCGTGAAAATGAAAACTAGCAGCTGATTTTGGTCACCTGCTCCTCTGTGTTGTGAACACCTTAACTAATCAGGATATAAGGATAAGGGTTAAGAGTGCTTAGCTTAGAATACATCAATATTGTGTGTAAGCTACAATGAGGAACCATGCCAGGAAATGCAGCTAAAGTAGAGTCACAGAATTACTGAGTGGTTCGGGTTGAAGGAACCTTAAAGACCATCTAGTTCCAACCATGGGCAGAGTCATCTTCCTGTAGTCTAGCAGTCCCCTGAGAGTATGGAATTAGTCCTTGGGATGTCCCTTGGCTGGTAATGCAGGGTCTTTATGCAAGACATCAGTTCTCTCTCTTGTCTGGGGTTCTTAGGAGCAAATTCATGGAGACCCTGGCTGTGCCCTACACAGAGCCTTAATTCAGCCCTAGTACCAGCACAGCACTTCCTGGCCCTGTTGGCCACGTGCAAGATGCGGGTAAGTATAATTATTAGCAAACTATCAGGCTCACCTTTGGCATAGCCTAGGCCCAGGCTAGGTGACTTCTTTGACAGAATTTGGTTGAATTCAGTTGTAGCTCAGCACTGGTGGCTTAGCTCTGCTCAGTTCTCTCCACAGTGCAAGCCAGCATGGGGAAAGTCTCTAAACAATTGTCTGTGTACCCAGATGGAATTTTTTTTGATAGTCATGTAACAGTGGGATGCTCTGAAGGGGACCTAAGCCTCATTTAGGAGCCTTGGGAATGAGCCTGAACGCCAGCTCCTTGTGTTTTGGTGGCAGAAAGGTGCCGGGCATGCTCAAGTGATTCATAAATGCAAAGGATTTATGAATTTAATACTCATTCATGCGTGCTTACAGACTCCGAGATCTGTTTGTGCAATTTGGCAAGTGAGTGGGAACTTGTGTCAGGAAAGGCTTCAGTTGCTGTCATCCCTGTGTGCTTACTGGGGCTTGGGATGTGTGTACTCTGAGCTGCTGCCTTGGAATGCTGGTGTTTCTTGGTAAGTGAGTAAATCGTATTAGAAGGACTTTCAGTGGCTTTAAAAATACATACAAAGCTCTTTGAACTGTTCGCTATTGTATCATCAGAATTGAAAGTATCAAACAAATGTGAAGAAATGCAAGATGGCATTTACTGAGCATCCTCCAAGAGAAACCAAATATTGTTATGGGAAAAAAATTCATTATTTTTACAAGATGAATGTGTTACCTTGTGACTATGGAATATCATATGTCCAATAGAAAGAAAATTGATTTATTTTATGTACTGATCAAAGACTCTTTACAATTATTTTGGTCTGGTTTGAACTGCTTTTGTTGTAGGTGTTTTGATGCTTTACGTGCTTTAATAAGAGGCTGTTCCCCAGCACCGGTTCTCAGTGTGCCTGTTGATCCCAGACACTCTAATCTTCAGCAATACTCAGACAGCTTTTCTTTTTCCCCACCAAGAAATATACAGCAAGGAAAATATAGGGGTAATGTTTATGTTTGATTTTTTGCATCAGTTACTCTGGGATTGAGTGATTTGTCTCCTCATGACAATTTATTCAATTTGCAGGAGAGTTTGACAGTCAACCAGCCCAAGAGCCACAGAGCATCTGGAGTCATGGTTGGTGTCAGCAGGATTGATTTTCTAAGCAACAGGAAGGGCAGCAGCTCCTTCTGATGGGTTTGGTTTTAATAGTGATGGGAAACGGAGGCAGTTTGCTAAATGCTATGGCTTTCCCACTTCTGTGTGTTAATAAATTATTTGGTCAAATAGGTTGGCTCTACCAGCAGCTCTGGAATTGTGTTGTCCTGGAAATAAAGCCTGGATAACTTGAAAGCAAACTAAACGGTAGGCTTTATGTGGATGTTGTTGTTAGGAATTGTATTGGCAAAATAGTTTTTCATCATTTTATCTTGGTTTTAGCACTTCTTTACCTCTTCTCCATAATAGCTTCCTGTTGTCCAAATGGGACCATTGATTTTTTATGTCTGTTGTTCTGCTTTCCGTAGTGTTTGCAATAAACCAAGTGGAACAGGATCGCCATGTTTCGAAACAGTCTCAAAATGCTTCTTACAGGAGGGAAGTCAAACCGCAAAAACAGGTCCAGCGGTAAGTAATTGTCACCTCGTCATGCTTGTAGAATATGGGCACTTTTGAAACCATTCCTTTTATATGTGTTTTGGTCTTAGCAGGACTTTCTTCTTGTTAATGAGCAGATGTACTTAGCTGACGATCTTGTAGACTCCAAACATCATTATACTTAATTTTAATATTGTGATGTGCTTTTAATTTGAAACTGTATTTATATTTATTTTAAAATGCATGTAAACCATCATCAGGTTTTATTGTGGAGATGAGATGCAAGGAAAACCAAATAAGAGTTCTATGTAATCTTGTAGTAAACAAGAATCAAGGTTCACATTTCATTTATGGGAAGTAATAATTTTTTTTTCTTCTGAAATGTCTGTGATAACTTGTGGCAGTAAAACCTGCTTAATTGCAGCCAAAATTTCTGAGAGCAGCGGCAATTTCTTTTGAGCTTTTATTGTTAACGAGGAGGGAGAAAGAGGAATGAGAATAGTTGAAACTGAAGGAGAAATTGCCCAAGTTTAATAATTTATGTCAATTTTGTTTTTCCACCATGTCAGGAAAGGAGTTTACAGTTAGTATTGGTTCATGTGGCTTGGCCTGTTTCATCCATGACAGAGATTTTGGGAGATAGTAATTGTAAGACAAAGCATTACAGAAATATTGATAGGCTTTAAAAACATTTTTATTTAACTTTCATAGTTTTTTCCAAAAACTGAGTGTTGGCAGGATAAGAGCTTTTAATTAGATCTTTCATTTTGAATTTTAAAGCCATCTGGCAGCACACCTTAAATATTTTGGGATACGGTGTCTATTTGTGCTCGTGCATCTGTGTTAGTGTGGATATTTATGTTATGGATGTTTATATGGATGTTCTTTGAGGAACTGCAGGTGAGGATGTGAGGAGGCGCAGTGGTGGTAAAGGCAGTGGGAAAATGGGCTGTTTTCCCTCGGTTTAAGCAAGTTGTTCAGTGTTTCTCACGGTGCTAGAATTTGGCCATTATTATTGTCTTCCTGCCTGTGTTGTATTTGGGGAGGGAGAATTGTGGGGCTTTGCTGTGGGGTAGCACTGATGCCTTAGGCATCAGTGATCTCTTATTCCAGTGTCTGGTGATAGTTGCGGGGTGTTGGTCTATCCTGAAGGCACTTGCCCTGGGAAGTTCAGGAGTGCATCGTGGTATTGTAGTTGGTGTGGATCTCAAAGCAGGTAAAAGTCTGTTTTGCAAAGGCACCGTATGAATTCAGGCCTGAGGTGGTGGCTGTTCATTGCTTTTATGGAGAAGATTTCCTTACCATAGGAACTTCTCAGTGTCTTGTGGTAGGAGAGGTTAGTGTGAGGGAGATACCTGCATGAAAAGACAGGTTTGGGGAAGACATGGGAGCAGATAGCTCCATCCTCCTGTGATTTGTGTCACATTTACTGTTTGAAAGTATAAATCCTTTGATGATACCTTTAGGAAACCGTACACAGACAGATCACCTTAAGTTGTGATTTCTGTACAAAGCCCTCTCTTTGTCAGATGTGCTGCTAACAGGCCGTAGTACTCCTTTTGGCTTATCTCCCAGAAGCAATATTAAAGATTTTGTACATGCCAAGCTCTGCAAATACGTGTTTCTTCTTTTGTGAATGAAAAATGTCAGTTCTGAAGTACTGAGATTTGACATTCTGGTTTTGGGCAAAGCAGAAGAAGAGATGGTTTTTCTTATTCATGTATTGAAAAAATAATATGACAGAATTGAATTGATAAGGTTCTCTCTAATGCCTAGTGGCTGTACTGTATGTTTAATTTACTGCAATTCTGCCCTTGAAAGAAGTTGCTTTTTTGAGAAGCTCTGTTTGGCATTCTTCAGGGCAAGAGAGGGAATGGGAAAATGAGATGCTCAGGTTTGTTATATTGTTTGTGACTAAGCGGCAAACATCCCTGCACTGCATAACAATTTTTCAGATAGTTGTTAATCTTCCAAACTCTTACATGATAATAGATTAATTTCTTGCTGCCTAGATTTTTTTAAGACAAGTGTATTTAAGTCTGTATTTCTTTGCAACACACTAAGGAAGAGAATCAGTAAATCTTCTGTGTACATTTCTGTGTCACAAGCAGTACTGTAAGCCTGAAACTTGCTATATTTATGTGCTTTGCAGTTCTGGCAAACTACAGTTTTGATACTTTAAAAGCAGATTAAAAAGGACAGAATTTACCTAATAATATACGAAAGGGATTTGTCACCCTGTCACTGGCAGGATCTTGATGAATCCTCCCATCCCCTTGAATAAATCCCAGAATGCTTTGGGGTGGAATTTAATAGGGAAGGAATTTAAATGTTTAGTCCCATCGTCCTGCTGTGGGCAGGGACACCTTCCACTATTCCAGGTGGCTCCAAGCCCCATCCAGCCTGGCCTTGGATACTCCAGAGATCCAGGGGCAGCCACAGCTTCTCTGGGCAACCTGTGCCAGGGCCTGACCACCCTCACAGTAAATGCAACTGTCTTTCGGCAGCTGGGTCCAGGTGTTGCATTCTTTTGAACATTTTCACACGGTCAGTGCTGTCCTTCAGGTCCCTCCAACAATGTTGTCTTCACTGGTGGGTTTTGTCTTGGCAGTTTCTATAGAGACATAGGTGGGACACTGCAGTTTTTGGATTTTTTCTCATTCAAGTGCTCTAAAAAGATTATGTGTTTATTGAAATTTTAATTTTTTTCCCTCATTAACATGATTTAAAATGCTAATTAGATGAAAATTAAGCTTCCCTGATGGTTTTGGTGCTCTGATTTGCTGCATGACCTTAGAGCAACACCCATCTCTGAGAACTGTTAACAAGCTCTACATCCTAAGGTCCGTGTTGGGTAAATCATCTGTTGGCTTCAGGTGTGCCGTGTACTGCGTCTGAGTCTCGTGGACTGATGACAGTCCACCCAGATGTCTCTGAAATTGCACTGTGCCTTCATTTCCTACATTCTAGTCATCTTGCATTCCAGTGTGGGAATAAACCTTTGAAGCAGGGTTAAAGGTATTTCATTGTTTTCTTGGGGAATCCAAAGGAGCACACTGGCCTTTGCAATTCCTGTGCTTTGCTGTGTCTTTGATTTGCAGCAGCACTCGACGAACAGGAGCAGTGGAGTCAGGGTAATGATTCCTAGAAGTGATGTGGTTTTGATAACGCCTCTTGATTAAAAGAAAACTGGTAGCGATAGCAGTAAAAAGCTTTCTTAATTTTCCTTCTTTAGAAACTGCTGAGCGACTTCTCTGAGAACCGTGGTTAACATTTATTTTACCTCAGCCGGGGTGGGTTTTCCCCTTTGGTGCTTGATGGTGTTGTGATTCAGGAACACACAAAATATTTATAAAAGAAGAATACAATTACAAGCATCTGAATGTATAGTTATGTACACTACTGCCAAATTAAAATAAATTAATTTCTACTACAGCATCGGGCTGAGTAATCTCCTGTGATTAATTCTGGGTGTCTGGGTGTCCTTTCAGAGCTCCAGTGCTGGGATTTCAAGGTATGTGCCCTGGACACAGAGTGCTCAGTGCACATGTGTGTGCACACACTTAATGTCTTGTCTTAAGAAAAATTCACCCGTGACTCAAGAGCACTCAGGATGGTTTACGTTAATGCCTTGAGGACCCAATATGCCTGCAACAGTGTTTTGATTAGGTTGGGTTTTTTTCTGATATAAATGGATGTTCCACAAAGCTGCCAGATAGCAGCATCTCTGGTGCTGAAATGGGATTTCCAGTGTAAATTAACTTAGAGATGCAGAGACGTACAAGCTTTCTGATTCATTTATATCCGTAGCTATATTATGTAAGATGTGTTTCTTTCAAAATGCAAAAGGACTGTGTTTTTCTCCATCCTGTTATTCCTTCTGGGTGAAGATCCAGCAGGATTGTTGTGGCCAGAGCCCTATGGCCAGGGCAAGCAGGTGTAATAATCTGCAGATAGGCAAACCTGCTGCTGCTTCTTCTAAGAGATGTTTGTGGCTTCTTCCCCACTAATTCAGTTCTTCCAGGGCAGTTCTGTTCTCTGAATCCAGAGACTGAGGTTTTCTGTTGTTTTCACTCGTTTTTATCAAGGACCTGTCTCATACTTATCTGCAGTTTACTTGCTTTATTAATCATTCCTTGGTCTGGGTGTATACTGAAGTAGTGCATATCAAATCAGTGCACTTGTATTCATTCCAGTATCCTGTTAGGGAACTGATTCCATGTAATGGATCCAGTCATTCCACCTATTACAGTTTTCCTTGTTCTTTTCCAAGCAGATGGACTATTTCCCTCTTACGTTATCACATTAAATTAACGCTGCTCTAAGAGTTTGGATTCCCTCTAGAACCTGGTAAAATTCAGCTGCAAAACTGCACATTTTGTTTGGCTTTGTATTTCCCTTTGCTTTGTGAGGAGAAGCCCAAGAATTTGTGCTGTTTATTTCTGACACAGATAAATGTAGCCTTAAGCAAAAGAAAAAAAATGGGGGGGGGGGGGGGGGGGGGGAGACCCCAAACCAGCAAACCACCACAGAAAAACCCCAAATGAACGAACAACACTCCCCCCACACACAGAGAAAAAAAACCCCAAAACAAGGCAAGTACTCTAAAATCTGAGTATCTGAGGCATGCAATCCTTAGCCCAAAGGGTCTTCTTTTCCCTTCTGAGTTAGTTAGGAATTACATCTTGCTTGTTCTTAACTATAAAATGCATGATTTTTATCTGGAGCTTCCCAGCCAGGAGCCTTCCTGTCATTCAGAATATTTTTGGTGCAGGGTTTTAAAAAATTTCTTCTTCTTTCCTGGTTCACAGAAGACCCAATTACTTCTCACTTCCAACATATTTATAGGGTTTTTTGGAATCTGCCACTTCATATTTTAATTCCAGACTGAAAAGGCCCCTGTCAAATGCTCTTCTCCTTTGATTCCTGCCTTTCAAAGATAAAAGGCATTTCCATGAAGGTCTCATTTCTGCTTGACCAGGTCTCTGTGCAGTTTCTGATCTATCTGATCTCTTGTGGAAGTCTGAGGA